AGTGGCTGGTGGGTTTGAACCACCAGCCATCTGGTTAGCAGGCAAGTGTCTTAGCCACTATGCTACCAGAGCTCACGGAGACACATTTATGAGATAATATTAAGGACTAAAGGTATAACCTTCTGATTGGAAGCTGCAAGAACAGGAAAGCCAGGAGTGGGACAACCCAAAAATAAGCCTTTCCAGTGATTGGTTGGAAAATGAATGTAGGCTATTTGGATTGGCTAGTTTAAATACGTGACTAGAGTGAAGTTTACAGGAGGTCATGAGGAAATTATCTTAAAACGTTCCTTGAGGGCTGCCAAGGAGATTTCTGAGGAGGGTTTTGTGTTAAGACCCTCCTTTAAAAACTTTCTTTCCAAACCTTTAGTTTAACCACAGAGGAAAAACATTCCCTTTGTTATATACTTATATTTGTCTAAGGGTTTGACAGTTGCAAGGGAAATAAGCAAAAGCTAAGATGAAGTCAAGGCTCAGAACTGGGTCAACCATTCTGATATGAGCAAAGTGCCTCAATTCTGGAACTTTCACACATTCCCTCCTTTTGATCAAGGATTTAATTAACATCCTTTGATCATTATTACGTGAATGCTTAAAACAATGACACAATGACACATAATTCCTTACATGACTGCTTACTGAGGTAAGCCTTTCAGACTCCTAACAATATTGTTTAGTAATTGGGTACCATCTGACTTCTTTGTCTTTCTATGGCTTAGCATTCAGCTTCTCTGATCTTAGTCTGTGTGGAGTAAGGCCACATTACAAGATTAGCTTGATTGCTCAAAAGACTGCCTCAGGGTGTGAGCTTGAGTCCATCTGGGGAATACTTATCTATATACATAATTCTCTTCAGAAGCATTAAATTGGGCTTTTCCCTCATAAAAATGTCTATACATTTCATGCAACATTTGATTATTCCAATAATCATTACCATGACAATTAATATAATTAATCCTGTTAGCAATACAGGATCTAACACTTTTAGGCAATTAGGTGAAAATTTACCTATGAAAAAGAAGGAACAGTCATAGGGGATGTGGAAGGCAACTTTGTAATATCTTGCTCTACTCCTCCAGAGGTGTTTATTCAGGAGCAGTAGGAGGTACTGGCAATGGCTTATATTCCTCCTGTTGAGCTAAAAGGAAATCTAGAGCTATGGTTGTTGTTGTTGTTGTTATTTGCTGTCCAGTCGGCCCCGACTCATAGCGACCCCTCCTTGGGTTTCCGAGGCAGTATCACTACGGAAGTAGGATTGCCCAACCTTCCTTCCGAGGAGTGGCTGGTAGGTTTGAACCGCCAGCCTTCTGGTTAGCAGTCAAGTGCCTTAGCCACTATGCTACCAGAGCTCCTGGTACTATTTACTAGTTGGGCTAATTTAATACCTGCCTTGTCTCTCCAAGCATCAGAATAAACAGGAAGAAAAAAAAAAAAAAAAGACTTAAATGGGCTTTCATAAACCGAAACAAAAATCAAACTCACTGGCATCAAAATCAATTCTGACTCATAGTGATCCCATTGAGTTTCCAAGGCTATAAATCTTTATGGACGCAGATTGCCCCATCTTTCTTATAAGGAGTGGCTGGTGGGTTTGAACCGATGACCTTTCGGTTAGCAGCCAAATGCCTTAACCACTACATCATCAGAACACCTTCATAGTGAACAAAATATTAGGAAGTAAGACCATAGGTAAACAATAAAGCTATTAGCATAAGAATAAACCTACAGCCATTGAGTCAGACTCATGGCAACTCCATAGGGCAGAGTAGAACTGCCCCATAGGGTTTCCAAGGCTATAAATCTTTATGGAAGCAGACTGCCTCATCTTTCTCTCACAGAGTGGCTGTTGGGTTCAAACTGCTGACCTTTGGGTTAGCAGCCATACCTTAAACCACTGCACAACCAGAGCTCCTTAGCATGAGAATACCAAAAACTCACTGCCATGGAGTCAACTCAGCATAAAAATAGCTACGGTTAAAAGGCAAAATTCTAAATATTTCATCAGGTTCAAGAAGTCAGCTTCTTCGGACCAGCTCTCTACCTCAGATGTTGTCTGCTTCTGGTCACCTACATGTTTCAAAGTGATTTTTAGTTCTCCAGAGGACTGATAAGACAATGGGCAGAATCATTTAAAACACTCAGAATTTTGACACGTGCCATAACGTATTCTGGGAGCTCTGGTAGGGTAGTACCTAAGGCATTTGACTGCTAACCAGAAGGCTGGCAGTTCAAACCCAACAGCCACTCCTCAGAAGGAATGTTGGGCAAGCTACTTCCATAGTGATACTGCCTTGGAAACCCAAGGAAGGGTCACTGTGAGTCAGATCCAACTTGACGGCAGTGAGTGTGGTTTTTGGTATAACATATTCTAAACCATGGGAGCTCTGGTAGCGTAGTGCCTAAGGCACTTGACTGCTAACCAGAAGGCTGGAGGTTCAAACCCACCGGCCACTCCTCGGAAGGAAGATGGGGCAATCTACTTCTGTAGTGATACTGCTTTGGAAACCCAAGGAGGGGTTGCTATGAGTTGGGTCCAACTCGACGGCACATAACAACAACAACAGCAACATTCTAATCCATAATATACACTGTAGCCAACATGTCATTAGTTATTGAAATAACTGATTTTTACAGTAAAAGAAGGAAAGGAAAAGAGATTTCTTATATTTAAAACCTTATAGTAATTAGTTCACTCAGTCCTATGAAGTTAATTTTATTTCCATGCAATTCTAAATCAACAGCAATCTGAAAACTCTGTTAGTTTCTATAAGAGAGTTCTGGAAATCTCGATCCAGTTTAGTGGTATCATGTTCAAAGTATCTTCCCCATAAGTTTGGTATGGAAATATTTTGGTCAAGCATTTACAGCAAGTCAGCAAAGTAAAAGCATATCTGTAGATGTCAAAACTTAATGTGGCATTGATTAACTTATAATAATAATATTTCTTAACAAATGAAAGACCTGGTGGGAATTAATTACATAACTAATGCAAAGCCAAATAAAGTCAATTCAAAAAACTTTAAAAGCATCTCTAAACAGCCTCAGAAACCCAAGGAGAGGTCACTATGAGTCGGGTCTGAAAACAACAACAAACATAGTGATTAATCTTATTGTCAAAGAGCCTGAGATATAAAGTATAATAATCTTGGGACATAATACCATACAGTCATGATATACAAAGAATATATC